CGTGTAAACTCCCTCACCCCAGGAGGGGGGGGTCCTCCCCTTGTCCCCGCGGGTGGGTGTGCGTGTTTTTGTGGCCTGTGTGGGCCGGTCTGCCAAATCTTTAATAAAAAAAATAACTCGGTAAGGCTTAGAACACATCTTCTATCCACCGAGTGCAGGCCACGCCCTCCTCTGCATCGCATCCGGCATCCTTGGGACTCACCCTACCTTGCCCCGCAGCATCCGTGGCCGAACGGGCCTGGAGCCGCATCGTCCTCCACAGGCAGCCGCAAATCAAGGCCCTGGCTTCGGCCTAGCTCCCGTCAGCAGCCCACGCGAATGCGATCTGGGTGCACCGCTTTGCATCCTGCTTCCACTGCCCCTGCCCTGTTGGGTGAGTCCTCATCTTGGGCTGGCCCCGTTTGTGGCCCCAACAAGGTACGAGACATATTTCAGGCACGGTGCCACTTTCCACCAGTGGCCGAAAATCGAGCCCCCGGCTTGGGCCTAACCTCCTTGACGGCCTGTAGTTTTAAACATATTGTATGGCTCTCACAGAATTACATTTTAAAATATGTGGCATTAATGGCTCTCTCAGACAAAAAGGTTCCCAACCCCTGCCTCAACGGATCGAGGCTCCTGCTAGAACAGGAGATATAGGCTGCAGTGGGGAGGGTGGGCTTTGCACAAGTTCCAGTTGCTGCCCTACCTGGAGCAAGGGGACCTTGCTACAGTGACTCATGCCTTCATTACCACCCATTTTGACTACTGTAACACGCTCTACCTGCAGCTGCCACTGAAAACCACTTGGAGGCTGCAGTTGGCTTAGAGTGCAGCAGCCAGTGTACTTATTGTTATATGCCTGTGGGAGGATATTATGCTAGTGCTGTGGGCTCCACAGTGATTACTACTAGGCTTCTGGGTGCTATTTAAAGTGCTGGTGCTAACTTATAAAGCCCAACATAGCATGGCACCATATCTGCAGGACCGTATTCTCCCATTGGAATTGGCCCAATCAATTCAGCTTACCTGGGAAAAGTTACTAGTGGTTCCCATGTAAGGGAGGTGAGAAGGGCTAAGGCTCACACTGCTTTTTGGGATGGTGGCACTAATCTTTAGACTAGCCTCCCAGTGGATGTCAGTTGGGTGGCACTGACTGCCTTCCGAAGATGGGCGTTTGGGCTGTGATTCCATCTTGGTTGGGTTAGCATTTGGCTTTGTTACTTGATGTTATTTTTTTTAATGGTTTTTAGATATTTTATTTGTGCATTTTTATTGTATGTTGTTTATTGTGTATTTTATCTTGTAAACCACTGAGAGTCCTTTGGGATTGTGGCAGTCCATAAATGTGATTAATAAAGTTACCTGGAATGAGATTCAACTTAAGATTTTGTTTTGTTACATAGTTGGGGGAAAAAAAGACATTAAAATACAGCAACTTAATCCCAAAGAATACTGCAGCACTTTACAGACAAATGTCATAAACTTAAAGCTTCTCAGGCAGCTACATTTCTGTGCCTATTTACCTGGAAGTAAAATTCACTGAAATCCACTTCTTCAGCGTTGATATATGCAAGATTGGACTGCGAGAACATTTGGGTTTAGTCAGTCGGCAGTTTTAACCAGAGTTACTTTTACTCCGCTCCTGACTAGGCTGCCAGGTGCACATCAGAACCATTATACTCGCTTCTAAATGGGTGCAAGCGCTTGTCCGCTTTAGAGATCCGTCCCGGGCTGCTACTGCTACTTCAATGTCTCTGGAGATTTTGTATTACAGAAAGCTAACCTCCCGCATCGCTACCATCGCCACTAATGAGTGGACGCTATGCCAAATGAATCCCCAGCCTGCGCGTATATATTAATCCCCAGCTCACATCTCCTTTTCGCCTTCTCTAGACCCAGTTCGTTGAGGAGCGGAAGTGCCTTTAGCGAACCATGACGTCTTTCGTTTCAGAAATCGAACGTTACACCGGAAACGACGATGGTTCGGAGAGTTAGAGCCCATGACCTCTGCGCCCTCTAGCGGTTCTCTTACCCATTCCTGGTTCCTTCGGCTGAGATCTTGGGGGCCGAGCGGGTGGGCCGCGGCGCGACACAGGTGTGTGGGTGAAGAAGAGAGCGGACATCCGGGGGCGGGAGAGGGAAACCCGGTTCCTAGGATTTCCAAGTGAGCGGTCGGGAATAGCCTTATTATCCCTTTCCTTCGCCTCTCCCGCCTCCGCTTTTAGAGTCGTACAGGCCAAAGACAGAAAGTGCTGCTACCCAGAGTTGTCAGTAGTAGCTGATCCTAAAGCCTTGGACTGGGGCAACAGTGGCGCGGTGTTCCCACTCTCTTCCTTAGGGCTGTTCTGCAACCCGGTGTAAGTCTAGTTCTCTTAGGAAATGGTGGCAACCTGTTGTAGGTATTTCTTCATTTCTTTATCCTCCCCTCATCAAATCAGATTTTGTCAGCTCTGTCCTGTCTTTTCCTTCTTCTCAGAAAATGGCCTGTACAATAGAAAAGATCTTGACAGATGCAAAAACATTGCTGGAAAGGCTGAAAGACCATGATAATGCCGCTGAGTCTCTCATTGATCAGTCCACCATGTTGCATAAGAAAGTAGTGGCTATGAAAGAAGCTGGTACAACTCTTTCACACAAGGTGAGTGCAGACCCCTTAATGGCATTAATTGGTTGGCTATGTGGGTTAATGGATAGAATTGTGCATACGGTATTGAAGTTCTCCGGCTCATACAAAACATCTTTCTTTTACAAGTATCAAGAAGATGCAACTGAGCTAAAGGATATCTCTAAATACAAACCTCACATTCTCTTGTCTCAGGAAAACACTCAGATCAGAGATCTGCAACAAGAAAATAGAGGTAAGCATTGTGCTAATGAAGTAAATGTGAGCCAAAATGATTTTTATAGAAATAAGGATGTAACTGAGGGCTTTACTTTGGAGTTTAATTAAGAATATTTTAGGAGTATGCTGAGGCTGGAAGTATCATGTGGGACCTGGGACAAATAACTTAGATAAAATGGGTATAGTTTGAGCCACTCTTAGAGTTTGTTATTTCCTATGCATGCTTATAGAGCTACCCAGACACTAACACACTATGTGGTAAAAAATATCAGTTGATTACCAGTGTTCCTCATGGCATTATATGCTGGTTGTATAAGGATCCCAAGAGAAAAAAAACACCAAATTTTGTTCAAGTTGTATTGAATCTACAACTTATGTGAAAAATAGATTGTAACCACGCTGATTAACTGTTGCTGTTTGTTATATGGATAAGTGACCGATGACCACAAGCAGATATTCTAATCTGCCATGCTATGCCCATACATTTACATGAAAATAAGCTTCGGCAAACAACATAAATTTATCCTCAAGTAAATGTATAGGACTGGACTATAAACCAAACTGGCTTGATTATAAAATACTAATCCAGAGAGTGAAATGATCAAAGAAGTCTAGCTAAGGAAGCCCAGAGCATCAGAGAAAGAATTTGAAATGGAAGCATAAACAAGTTAATATGTAGGGACCAATGGGCATACTATAAATATTCATAGTTATAGCATGGAATTATACAATTGTTTCAGAGCTATGGATCTCTTTGGAAGAACACCAAGATGCACTGGAACTTATTATGAGCAAATACAGAAAACACATGCTGCAGCTCATGATGAAAAGAAAAGATGTGGATGCTCAGTCAGTTTTGCAAGTACATCAAACTCAGTCCACAGTAAGAAATTACTATATTCTTGCTAAAAAAATAGAAAATAGAAATAAATATATTTAGGAAAGTTGTTTAGATGTGCTCCATTCCTATGATGTCTGTTTTTGACTCTTGCTTTTTCCTCAAGAGTCTCTTCTCTGAAACAGAAGTGCCTTTTCTTTCTAGGAGAAAGCATTGCAAATAAAGTAACTTCTTACGAGTCCATACAAAGCAAATGACTGTAAATACCATGAGACAATTAAACTAGTTATTTTTATGCCCCCAAAACTGCAAGGTTTCATTACATTTCTGCCTTAAAGTGGGTGGCTATAAATCTATGACTGCTCAGAGGGTATTCCATGTACCATTGGGTTATATGAATGTTCTTGGAATGGAAAACATGACCAGCAAAGTTGGTGTACAAGAGAGGACATACATCTGCTGGATCCAAAGCCTTCCTGTTTTCCAGTTTGCTCCTAAATTGATATATAAAATAGTAGCCATGGAGCTAATGAGAGCTAACAAAAATGGCTTATATAATATAAATTTTCTTTATGTATGGTTACATAGTTAATGCTGTGACTGTGTTAGTAATTGGAGCACTATATCAGCTAGTGTATCCTGAACCAGATATCCTTGTTATGTGGATATAAATATCTTGTATGTATTGCAAGAAAATTGAGGGTTATAAAGTATAAGGGAGGTGTATACATTTTTCCATGGACATATTACATGTGCAATATATGTGTGTATTGCAGTGCAGAAGAAATGGTTCTCTTAGAGCTTAAGTGAAGACTGAATATGTTGGTACTACATGGTGAGACTGGATCATGACTGCAGTATATAAGCATAGCGCCTATTAGTATTGTTTTAGAACAGAATGATATATCTGTTTCTAAATAATAATAGGTCCTATCTTAAAGCTATTTTCCAGAAAGTTAAAATATATCTTATAAAGGAAAGTGTATGATGACAATAGTTGGCTCCTATTTAATTTAACTGCTACAGTTCCAAGACACAAATCTGTCTTAAAAAAAAAAGTGAGATATACTGTAAATAATATGTAAAAAAAAAAAGGTACACCACTTACAAATTAGCCCTGTAGATGTATTGTCGAAGGCTTTCACAGCCGGCATACGATGGCTGATGTGGGTCTTCCAGGCTGTGTGGCCGTGTTCTGGAAGTTCTGGAACTTCCAGAACACG